CCTCTGTGAGCCCCCACCACTGCAAAGACCCCCATTATCACAGGACCCAGTCTGTGAGCACTGCCCCCACTGCAGAGCCCCCATTATCGCAGAACCCAGTCTGTGAGCCCCGCCCCCACTGCAGAATCCACCCCCATATCGCAGGGTCCCCCTCTGTGAGCCCCCACCACTGCAGGAGCCCCCACTATCGCACCCCACGGCTGACCCCCCCAGAGCCCTGCCCCAACCACTGAGTACCCCCACCCCTATGAGCGCCGCCCTACATCTCAGAGCCCCCTCCTGTGGAGCCCTGCCCCCACCGCGACTGCGCGAGTCCAGCTCTATACTTGCTGTGCCCTCAGCTGACAGGTCACTTGCCCCACGGAGGTGGACAACCGCACCTTGGCCTCAGGGGGGGCCAGATGCACACAGCTGACCACGATGCGGAGCCCCTGCTGCAGTGGCCACTGGGGCGAGCCTCGTGCACAGGTCTGCAGAGACCACGCTGGGCTGGGCTGCCCACTTCCCATCTCCACGGCACTGTGCTCACCTGCTGGGGTGTCTATAGTGCTGTCTCTAGTGACATTGGCCAGGAACTCAATGCCCCCACTCATCTCATCTTCGTAGCCGGGTGTCTCCTCAGGGTCAGAGAACTCCAGGTCCACTGTGGAGGGTGGGGAGGGGGACAAGAAGGCCACTTGAAAAATTGGGGCTGGCGGGAGCCGCCACTGCTCGCCTGGGGCCTGGGACGAGGTGGTCGCTTCTCCGTGACTCTGAGATGGACACCCCACCCCGAGGCTGGACAAGGGGAACAAACCAGGGTCTCCCTGGACCCCTCCGGCCCTGGGCGCACCCCGCAGCCGGGCCCTTACCTCGCTCTCTGATGGGGAAGTGATGCAGCGGGCTCTCCATGGGCAGCTTCCCGTTGGGGGTGCTGCTGTTCCTCTGAGGGGGGCAGGAGGTGTGGGTCAGCGGTCACCGCCATGGCACTTCGATGCCCGCTGACCCTGCCTCCATCTAGGATGCACAGACCTCCATCTCCAAGAATGACCACGCCCAGCTGACCTCCGCCCCAGGAAGACCCCTGCCTCTCCCTGCTGCTGCATGTTCTCCCCGCCTCCACCCTGCACTGTCACCCATGGGACCCTGCCCACTGGTCCTGGCCCTCACATGCCTCGCTCTACCCTGCCAGTCTTGCCCCATAGACACTACCCCCGCTGGCCACGCCCCACGCTGACCACGCCCACGCCCCCCATGGCCACACCGTTCGGGCCACGCCCCGCAAAGACCCAGAGGGCCACGCCCCTCGCAGGCCACGCCCCACAGCCCAACCTCCAGCGGATCACGCCCCACAGTCCAAGCCCCACCCCCGCCACCGCTGGCCACGCCCTGTAACAGACCACGCCCCGTAAACAAGCCCCACCCAGGCCACGCCCATCCGGTCACGCCCCGCCGACACAGCTATAGCGGGTCACGCACCCTCTCAGGTCACGCCCCGCAGCCCAGCCCCTCGCAGGCCACGCCCCATAGGTCACACCCCCCCTTGGACCACGCCTCTCTCAGGCCACGCCCGCGAGTCGCGGGCCACGCCCCTACCCTCTTCTGCGCGCGCTCGCGCTTGTACTTGGCCGCCTTCTTCTGGTTGATGCCCAGCTTGGCCGACTTGAAAGACTCCAGGCGTTTGCGCATGGTCCGGTGGAAAATCTCCTTGTCCTGCTTCTCGTCCTCGTTCTGTGAGAGCTCATGCCGGCTGTAGAGGTGCTTGTACTGTGGGACAGCAGTGCTAAGACACCAGCTGGAGGCCCAGGGGTAACCCCACTGCCCACCAGGGACCCAGAAGCCACATCAGATAGAGGGTCCAGGGGCCACCCCTCCACCTGCTGGGGTACCAGAGACCACCCTACCACCCAGTAGGAGCTCAAGGGCCGCCGCACTGCCTGCTGGAGTCGGGCCAGGGGATGCTGTGTCCCTGAAGCCCAAGCCCACAGGAGGGTCTTTGCACCAAGGAAGGGGCCAGGGGACCCTCTTCCTGAGGCTGCCCACCTCCTGGCGCGGCTTGTACAGGTACTGCTGCAGCGTGTGGTGTGTGATCATGTCCTCTGTGTCCCGGATGCTCTTCCGCCGCTGCTCCAGCGACTGCATGTCCAAGCAGACCGCACTGACGTTCTCCCGCCTGTGGCCAGAGGGCAGTGTGACTGAGGGCACCCTCCACCCCACTCCCTTCTCTTCCAGGCTGAAACCCTAGTGTCCTCCCCTCCCACAGGCCCACAAGGCAGGACCCTGTCCCAGTGGATACTACAGAGCTAATGAGACCAAGAGCAGGTCTCCATCATCAGCTACAGCACCTAGATAGATGGAAAGTTGACACCAAAACCAGGACCCTCAGAGAGCTGCCCACTGGGGGCGAGGGCCGGCGGGGTGTACATGGAAGGCCACGGCCAGAGCCTCCCTTCTTCCACACTGCCTTGGCCTCTTTCCCTCCTGCCTGCCTCCTTCTCCCTCCTTCTTTCCCCCTCCTCCTTCCCTCCTTCCTTCCCTTGCTCCCTCCCTTTCTCCTTCCCTCTCCCTCCTCCCTCCCTCTTCCTCCTTCCTCCTTCCCTTTCTCCCTCCTCCTCCCTCCCTTTCTCCCTCCTCCCTTCCACTTCCTCCTCCCTCTCGTTCTCCCTCCTCCCTTCCTCTTCTTCCTCCTTCCCTCTCTCCCTCCTCCCTCCTTTTCTCCCTCCTCCCTCCCTCTTGCCTCTTTCCCTCCCAGTCTTCCCTCCTTCTCCTCCAGCTTTCCTTTCCTCCCTTCCCCTCCCTTGTTCTTCCCCCTCACCCTCCTTCCCTCTCCCTCCCTCCCGGCCCTTCTACACTGTGAACATCTTGCTACATGGTGAGCACTAAGAGCTGACTTACCAGTACATGTGACATGTGTGGAAGGGGTGCCTGGCACTATTCTGGAACTCCTGCCCTCCCATCCTATTCTGTGGGGTCCTAGCCAGGAGCCCAGACCTACCCCTATCACTTATAAATCCTCATTACTTCTAGGTGCTGGCTGGCTGGCTGATGACTGTCCAGAGGGGTCTTGCTGACCCACTGTGGTCAGGAGGTCAAGGGGCTGGGGAGGGAGCCCTTGGGCATGGGCACTTACAGAAGGTAAGAGACAGAAGCTTCCACAGTGGACGGCCGTGGTGTGTTGAAGTCCACATTGACCACAGACATGCTGTCTGCGCTTGGTGAGCGGATGAAGGCCAGAGACCCCCGGCGTTCACCCTGCAAAAGAAATAGTTGGTTGTGGGTGTGTGCTCAAGGATGTTTGTATATGACTGTGCACATGGTGTATATGCATATTCACACCTGTGCATATACATTCACGTGCGTATGCACAGGTACACCTGTGGATATACATTGTATGCACAGGTGTGCATGCATATAGGTATGCACACGTCTCTATATATGTGTATGGCATCATGGCTGTGCACATGGTGTGTATACATATGCACGCCTATGCAGGTACATTTTTGTGTGTATGCACAGGTATGCCTGCATGTGTGTCTGTGTGCATGACATCATGTTTGCGTACATGGGTGATATGTGAGTGCATGGCATGGATGTACATGTGCACAAGCGTGTGTGCATGCACCAGGCACATGTGTGCATGTGTGTACCTGTACATGAGTGCACACATGTGCACACCTGTGTATGTATGTGTATGCAGATATTTGTGCATATATATGTGTACATTCCTGTGAATTAAAAGGTTTCTGTGTGTTATTGTGCATGGATACACATGTATGTGTGTGATGATATGTGCATGCATGTCTATACACATGCGTGGATGTGCCTGTGTATGGCATGCATGTATATGCATATCTGTGTACCTGCATGCATATGCCCGCATGCCTGTGTGTGGTGTTCATGTATGTGCCTTGATGCCTCTGTGTGTATGCTTTCATGTGACATACATATGTTCCTGTATGCCTGTGTATGACATTTATGTATATGCCTGCATGCGTGGGCATGGCATATGTGCATGCATGCTTCTGATGTGTTCCTGCATGTCTGTGTGCATGGCATCGGCATATGTGCATGCATATCTGTGTGTGGTGTACGTGTGTGTCCCTGCATGTCTCTGTGTGCCTGCATGCATGTCTGCATGTGGTATACATGTGGGTCCCTGCATGTCTCTGTGTGGCATAGGCATGTGTATGCATGTCTGTGTGCTGTGTATGTGCGCCTGCATGTCTCTGTGTCCCTGCATGTCTGTGCGCACAGCATAGGTGTATGTGCATGCATGTCTGAGTGTACTGTACACGTATGTGTCTGTATGCCTGTGGATGATGGGCAGCTCTGGCCCTGTCCACTCCTCATCTTCCTCATGCTCCTCAGGGGGAGGATGTGAGCTCAAGGTCCTAGGTCCTGACTTCATATCCTAGCCCACCAGCTGGTCTACTCTCTGTCCTACAGACAGTGCAGGTCTCTGTGCCTCAGTAGCACTCTCATGTACGAGAGTCAGCAAAAGTGGGCTACTTTTGGCTTGTATGACAAGGAGTTTTCAGCTGGGTAATCTTGCAGGTCTGGGTTCCAGGAGAGCACGTCTCAGAGAGCAGAGTAACACACAGAGTGGGGCCACCCAGGATATGTGCCCACACTGACCAGAACATGGGTTACTCTACAGATGCGGCCCAGAGCAGGGGCCATCCTCCCCAGCCCCTGTTGTGTGCAGTGTTCTCAGGGCCACCGTGGCCTCTCAGCACCTCCCCCCAAGCCTGGTCCTGGGCAGCCACCTACCTCAGCCACATAGCTGATGGCATCCTTCAGGTTGAGCTCATGGAAGACGTTCAGGATTCGATCTCGAGACTTCTGGGCGGAGCGTCGCATGAGCACTTTGCTGAGGACTTTCCTGTCAAAGTTGGACCACCTGGGGATGGAGATGTGGCATCAGGACCCCTGGCCTTGAGTCTGCCCCACACAGGAGGCTGCCCTGTCCTGATGCATGCCTGCAGTGACCACTGTGAGGGTGGATGACCACACAAACACAGAGCCAAGCCATCAGCCACCACTCGTTGTCCTCTGGAAGACAATTTGGAACCCTCCTCCTCCTCCTCCTTCCTGTGATTATGCCCCACCTTGAGAAGGTCGGGAGGGGGGCAGGTGATCAGGGCTGGTCACGTGTGACTCTGGGCCCAGTGTGTGAAGGAAGAGGGGTGACCAGACCCCAAGGATCCCACACAGACAAGGAGCCAGCCTTCCTGGTCATGGTTGCCCAGGCCTCTGGGCAGGAATCTCAGGGTGTGGCCAGAACCTGGAGCCACAGAGGAGTGAACAGAGCCACCACTGGGTACTTCACCCCATCACTGCCAAAGATCTCTCCTGCTGCCCCTGATCCCCAGTCCCCGCGTCAGCCCCCTCTGCAGGCCAGGCTGCCAGTGGGCTTAGCCTCGTGAAGCTCTTGGAGCAATGCTGGCCAAGGGCCCTATGGGACCCTGGACCCCCTACCCAGTCCTGAGTGGTCCCTGGTGCCCCCGTTTGACCCTGTCCCAAGTTCTCAGCCTGTGTGCCACTGGGCCCTGTCCTTGTCCTGAGTTGTCCCTCAGTGTGCCCTCAGTCCTAGCCTGTCCACTTTTGGCCCCCAATTCTGTCCTAAATCATTGTCCACATGCCCTCCACCCTCCTTTCCCTGTCCTGAGTCATCCCCAGTGCCCCCTAAGCCCCTGTCCCGAAACCTCGCTGTCCCCTGAGATTGCTCTGCTGCTGGCTGTTTGCATTACCTGCAGACACACCTGCAGCCTGGGCACCAGGGTTAGGAGCCCACCATGGGGCCTCGTAACCAAGACCCAGCCAACGGCAGCCCTGGAACTCACTCCTGGCCCTTGACAGGACTCTCGGCTGACCCTGTGGCCGTTTCCGAGGCTGCAGATGGTACAAGTCAGCAGCACAGCCCGCTACACCTACCCCTGTCACGGGGCCTCATGTAAAGCAGCACAGGCTGCCGCTGAAACACACTACAGACTTCTATTACAGGCAGTGGCTCTGGGGGTGCTTATGTTGCTATGCATGGAAAGCCCACATTTATCTGACTGACAACAGATACAACTGGATTTGCAGGGAGATAACCTGGGGCCACCTGTAACTAAGCAGGAACCAGCCCAATGCATTTAAGGCTTGGCGCCCATCGGGGTGTTTGGGTGTAAACCACAAAACCAGCATTTCCATTTCCTGAGCAAAGCAGCTGGCTGGAGAGGAACTCAGCCGCCTGGGTCCACACAGCACAGGAAGGCGCCTTCCGGCTCTCAGCCTGGCTGTCCATCTCACAGAATCCGAGGGAGTGGAGCCCGCCGGGGACGGGAGGGCTTGTCCTGACCTCTTGCTATCTGTCCTGGGGAACAGGTGGAGCGACACTTGCTCCAAGCAGCCCAGGGACCCCAGAACCTCACACTCAAGTCTGCATGCATCGGACATCACATGGGCGCCCTGATGCCACGTAAAGGGGTATCACATGTGGAGTGTCCTGATGTCACATGGGACAGAGGCACTTTGCCCCCTTGACCAGGCCCCACAAGGCTGGAAAATCCTGGGGTCAGAGGCCTCTTCTGGCTCCTTTACTGCAGAATTCCCCCAAGTAGGGGTGTCTCCTGTCTTCTCATCACAAGGAGACTGGCCACTGAGGTGGGGGTACCTCAGTCCAGTCACCAGTGGTCTCAGCCACTTACTTGTCTCTGAGGTAATTGTGTCCTATCTGGCCTGATATGTCCTCAATGGCGGAGAGGATGTGGTCGAAGGCCTTCCAGAGAAAACATGAGGTTAGCATCCCTGGGGAGCTGGCCCCCCCTCTTCCACCACATCCTACCTGCCCTGCGCTGGCCTCTGCCTGTCCCCAACCCCACCCCACTTCCCCATCTGTCACCCCACTCCCAATCCCCCCTTCCCCCATCTCTTCCTCCACTCCCATGACCTCCTCTACACCCTGTTCATTCCCACCTCGCCTCCAATCCCATCTCCTCACCTCCACCCCTCCTCCTCTACCCCTCCTCTCCACCTCACCTCCCCACCTAACCCTCCTGCCAACACCCTCCTCCTCTCCCCCATCCTCCCCACCCCGCCCC